GGGGGGGGGCGAATATAAATATACGAATATAAATAAAAAACGTTTTCCTCCCCGAAATTTGTTTGAGAATTATTTTAAATTTTCAAATGCTAGCCCCCCTACTCGTCAATATGATCGGCGGTCCCTGTGGAATGTCGCATCTTTTCAAAAACTAAAAGAAAATTACATCAAAAGCYAAGAGAAAGTATGAGAGCAATTTAAAGACAATTACAACGACAAAAAACTCACCCCGTTGCAAATCAACGTGGGAATTTTGACTTTTACAAATGCTGTGGATTACTTCTCTTCGAATAAAATTTAATTTTGTTCCTTCGTGTCGAAAATTATCATATCTAACTATAAAAAGTGTTTGATGATTTGAAGCAACGTTTCAATTTATTTCACACGACAGGGCCGTAGCCACCAACTTTTGATTGGTTCGGTTTTCAAGGGAGGGGGAGGGGTAGCGGGGTAGGTGGAGAGGAACAWGGAAAAGCATAGGGAAAACCTCCTACACTTAATATCTTTTCAAACCCATCCTAAAGTACTCAAATTTTGAATGTTGCGAAAGTACTTTTTCTTGACTCGTTCTTTAGGATGTATTCATTTGAATTTTGTGAAAGTACTTTTTCTTGACTCGTTGTTTAGGATGTATTCATTTGCAACAGATTTTAAATCAGGCTTATCTGTGACATCCTGGTACGTGGTAATGTAGTATCATCAAATGATTCAATCTTGATTGAGCCATTGCACTCCGGAGATATGTCTTGATGCGTCGCAGAGCACTGGCGGCTTGAACTTTCCAAAGGGCATTTTTGGGAAAACAAAACTACTTCTAGGATGGATAGGAATCTCTGGATTCTCTTGTAGACTTGGTTGGCATTGGTTGGTTGAAGTATAAGCGAGTTGCAGATACACGAATTAAGTTAGCTGGTTTAAGACGAACTGATACAAATACCGGCTCACACACACATATTTCGGATTTCCCGCCAAATTAATGACATCGATATCACGTGAGAAGTGTTTATTTATTTTTCTTCTAATCGTTTTTAAAAATCTTTTTTTCAATGATTTTTCTCATTTTTATTTTTATTTTTTTGTTATTTTATTTTTCATTTTCCCCCCGAAAGTTGTTTCGTTTGAAACCGGACCAACCGTACCGGTGGCTACGGCCCTGCACGATGAGCCACAGAAAAACGCCCGGATTTTTCTAAGAAAATGTCAATATTACTCATTGATT